GAATCGTCATTGTGAACTGACACCCAAAATCTTCACTGCTGCCAAAATTTGTCCTAATAACAAACACATGTTAAATAAATATTTTTTATTTTTTATTTACATGTACACATTATAATTGTACATATTCATGGGGTACACATGATATTTTGACAAAAGATCACAATGTGTAAGGATCAAATCTGGCTAACTGGGATATCCATCACCTCAAACATTTATCATTTCCTTAAGATGAGAAAATCTCTTCTAGCTGTTTGGAAATATACAGTTAACTCTATTCACTACTGCTATGAGGTCAATTTTTTTATCTCCCACATGAGTGAACACAGGCAATATTTGTCTTTCTGTACCTGCCACATTTTACTTAATATCCTCTAGTTCCATCCACATTGCTTCAAATGGCAGAATTTTATCCTTTTTATTACATTACCAACTCACTCCAGTTGAAATGCCTATTATGAAAATAACAGAAAATAAATACTGATGAGGATGTAGAGAAAGGAGAATGATCATCATCTGTTGGTAGGAATGTAAATTAGTACAGCCACTATGGAACACAGTATGGCGGTTCCTCAGAAAATTAAAAATAGAACTAGCATATATCTAGCAATCCCACTGGTAATTACATATCCAAAAGAAATGAAAGCAGTATATCAAAGAGATATCTACATTCCCATAACTTTTGAAGCACTATTCACAATAGCCAAGATATGGAATCAACTCAATCGTTCATCAAAAGATGAATAGGTTAAATAAGCATTTTGAAGTTAAAAAAAAAAACCTCAAATTTGTGGGAGAGAGAATTGAGACTTTTTAATATAAATATTTGTATTTTATGCCAATAAAAATAAAATAATGAAATAGCCTTTACAGCATATTGATTCTCAATCAGTTATACAAACCTGTATTCCTGCTGCATAGTTGGACCTTGGGTAATCTGAAGGATGAAGAATAATTTAAATCCATATTTTATCATGTTTTGAGTCTATCATTTTAATTCCTAAAAAAAATCAGTCATGTTAATACTCATATAGACAATACTCTTTGAAGTAAGGGCAGAAGTCTGTGGATGCTTTCTCTACATTTGAACTACAGCACATATTGTTAAGTCATTCAACTGGTGCATTTCCAAAGGCGATTCTTCTCTAATTAAATTCATTGGGACCTTTATCATAATTCTGAGGGTAGACTCTGTATCTCCAGAGATGCCACAAGGATAATAACTATGTACAACAAGATTTATAAAACCATGTCCTCTAGGGAAAAAATTACAAAAGAATAACTTGAGGTCAAATCACCAAAAGGAAAAAGTCCAGTCTGAGCATAATGAAATCTACAAAACCTATTATTTACATCATGACTTGCAAAATAGGCAACCCTGTTCGGTGTATAGTCACAGACAAGCTTCATTAAGGAGTACATGTCACAGATAAAATGACCAGCAACATTGGGGTCATAAGATGGGAGCCCATGCATAAGACCAACTTGAATTACTATGTGCAAAAGTCCTCCAGCCCAGGACACCACAAGCAACACAACACACAGCCATTGCTTCATGACAATCAAATCCTGCAAGGACTTGCAGATGGCCCTATAGTGATAATAGACCATCACCAACAGAAGAAAAACCTGTGACCCACCAAGAAAAATATGTGCTGTAAAAAGCTGGGTGCTGGGTCATCCATGATTGGAGAGAGATGATATTTTTCCCAAAGAACAAGTCTGAAATCAATTTGGGGAAAATGGTTGAGAAATAAGTGACATTCATAAATGATAGGCTAGCAAGAAAGAAGCACATCAGCAAACCCAGGGTCTCACTGTCAGTTACAGTCACGATGATGAACAGGTGTCTCCCTGAATCAAAGTTTAGAAGAGCAAGAATACAACAAAAAGTACTTTCTGTTCCTTTGGATTCTGGGTAAGCCAAAGAGCACAAAGTAAAGTTACACTGTTTCTTAGTTCTGTCTATGCATTACAGGTGCTAACTCCAGATCATGGAAGCACTTTATCCATAAAACAAGGAGGAAAAACTTTAAGTGTATTACTATTTTAATCTTTTATTTACTCATTCAATTTTAAAAGTGTGTATGAAGTGTCTATTTATGTCAGATTTGTCATAGACTTTGGAACTGCCAAGTTGAAAAACATATTGTTCCCTACCTTCAATGATTTGATACATAATGCTGGGATCAAACAGTTACAGACCAAAGTCATCAGTGCTGTTATAAAAATATTCACAAGATACTAAGGGTCATAATGTGGGAATATATAACTGAAACTGTAATCAGAGAAGGTTTTCCAGAGGAAGAAATACATTAGCTGAGTTTTAAACAGAAAGGGAAAGAATAAGAGACAATGGAAATGGAATTCCATTATAAGGTGTACCATTTATAAAATCACAAAAGTGTAATACTTGAGATTCATTTAAGATAATTTACATACTCAAAGTCAGTAGAACAAACTACAAATGAAACACTACTGTCTTGGTTTGCCTCCTACCTCACTGGGATCTCTCTTAAGCTCTTTAGTCAAATCTTGCTTTTCCTGACCAATAAATAAATGCTGACACACTCCAATTTTATGTATCCAACTCCTATATTTCTCCTAATTTTCAAACTTATATAGGCACTATCTCCAATGAAGAACATCTCCAACTATGTATCAATTTATTATTTATAAAACTAAGTGTTTAATTTTCCACAAGAAACCTAGGTATTCCCCATCTCATTAAATGAGACTATCTCCATGTTATTGTTTGGGGAAAAAAAAAAACATATCTCTCACATTGCCCATTGCCCTTCACTCTTTTTGTGCTCTCATATTATATTACTGTTCTGTGCAGGAGACACATGAGGGGAGAAGAAAAGACACACACACACACAACACCTTAAGGTTAAACAACCTTTATGCCATGTAAATGACAATGCAGTTGTAATAAGGAAATTGCAATGGGAAGGGGAGAAGGGAAAAGATATATATATATTTACACTCACCAGACTATGGAGGATTCACCAACAGACTGGGAAGCAACAGCCTGGGCTCCAGAGTTGGCCACTGCACAGATTAGGAGAGGTCTCATGAAGCTTCGGCACAGTCTGGGACCCTAGCTCTTTTTGTGATGAGTTGTTTGACATGAGACCCAGTCACGAAGGGCCTTCGTGACTGGGCTCAAGGAGCACAAAAATGTCAACTTGTTTTTGCAATTGTCTATTGTTTTTCAATAACTAACATATAGGAATAGATTGAAACAGAGAGTTCTCCAAAACAGAACTGGAAACACCTCAAGGGCTCACACAACCTGTTCTGGGACTTGGAGACCATTGTTTGTGTCCATGTTCAATTGAGTTCAAATATAATATTTAACTTTTTCTCCACAATTACTTACTGGTAACTTTAATAATTCCTATTGAATCTACTTTCAAAATATATCACAAATTTTATATTTTCACTGAAAGGGTACATTCTTGTTACCTTTTGGTCCACAACAATAGCCTACTACCCAGTCTCTCTGCTTTTATTCTAGCCTCCAACAATCTGTTCTTATAAGCAGCCCAAGGGATCCTTTTAAAATCTTATTTCTGATGTTCTTTCCATGAATCATTGTGGTGGTATAGATGGGAGTTTTGTAATGGGAATAAAACAGTACCTTAGCTGAAAAGGAGGTATCTAGCAATGGATAGATATCACCGAATGAAATTAAACATTGATTATGAACTGATTTAAGGCTTAAAAAATATTTTATGGAAAAGGATCCAAGATGGCCGTTTAGGAACAGCTCAGGATTGCAGCTCCCAGTGAAAGCGCAGAGGGTGAGTGGATGCCGTGTTTTTATTGCCCACAGACTAGGAAATTCCCGGGCAGAGGTGCTCCACGGTCACCAGCGCGGCTGTGCCGGCCAGCGCCGCTGCTTTGCCCCGCGCGGCTGCTTTGTCCGCGCCCCGGAGCCGCGGTTCTCCGTACAAAATACACTGGTCCGGGGGCCCTTTAGGCTGGC